TTTTGGTTTTTTTTTTTCTTTTTCCTTTTGAGATCGAGAAAGCGGATTTGCTCTGTTTTAGTTTGATACAGAGTGTTTTAATCAATGGCTTCTTTAGTTTCTTCACCCTTTACTTTGCCATCTTCTAAACCAGACCAACTCTCTCCACTTTCCCAAAAGCACTACTTTCTTCACTCCTTCCTTCCCAAGAAAACAAGCCAACCCATCTCAAAATCCTCCTTGAAAGTAAAGTGTGCTGTGGTTGGAAATGGGCTTTTCACTCAGACAACACCAGAAGTTCGAAGAATTGTCCCAGAGAAGAAAGATAACGTTCCCACTGTCAAAATTGTCTATGTGGTGCTAGAAGCTCAGTATCAGTCGTCCCTTTCGAGTGCAGTTCAGTCCTTGAACAAAAATGCCAAATTTGCTGCGTTTGAGGTTGTGGGGTACTTGGTAGAGGAGCTTCGAGATGAAAATACTTATAAAGCTTTCTGTAAGGACCTTGAGGATGCAAATATATTTATTGGGTCTTTGATTTTTGTGGAGGAGCTTGCATTGAAAGTGAAGGCTGCAGTGGAGAAGGAGAGGGATAGCTTGGATGCAGTGTTGGTTTTCCCCTCAATGCCTGAAGTAATGAGGCTGAACAAGTTGGGTTCTTTCAGTATGTCACAGCTGGGGCAGTCCAAGAGTCCATTTTTTCAGTTATTCAAGAGGAAGAAGCAGGGTGCCGGGTTTGCTGATAGTATGTTGAAGTTAGTGAGGACATTGCCTAAGGTTTTGAAGTACTTGCCTAGTGACAAGGCACAGGATGCTAGGCTTTACATACTGAGTTTGCAGTTCTGGCTAGGGGGTTCGCCAGATAACCTGCAAAATTTCTTGAAGATGATTTCTGGCTCGTATGTTCCAGCATTGAAAGGGAAAAAAATAGAGTATTCAGATCCAGTTCTGTTCTTGGATAGCGGGATTTGGCACCCCTTGGCTCCTGGTATGTATGATGATGTCAAGGAGTATTTGAACTGGTATGGTACTAGGAGGGATGCTAATGAGAAACTCAAGGGGCCAAATGCACCTGTGATTGGGTTGATTTTGCAAAGGAGTCACATTGTTACTGGGGATGAAAGTCATTATGTGGCTGTGATCATGGAGTTAGAAGCTCGAGGAGCTAAAGTAATACCAATTTTTGCTGGAGGGCTTGATTTTTCTGGCCCTGTTGAGAAGTTCTTGATCAATCCAATCACTAAGAAGCCATTTGTCAACTCAGTTGTGTCCTTGACAGGTTTTGCGCTTGTTGGAGGTCCTGCTAGGCAGGACCATCCAAGGGCAGTTGAGGCACTGAGAAAACTGGATGTTCCTTATATTGTTGCATTGCCATTGGTGTTCCAAACAACTGAGGAATGGTTGAATAGTACTCTTGGCTTGCACCCAATTCAGGTCGCTTTGCAAGTTGCTCTTCCAGAACTGGATGGAGGCATGGAGCCCATTGTTTTTGCAGGCCGTGATCCAAGAACAGGCAAGTCAAGCTTCCCTTTGCAATATTACTTTTATGTTTTATTTTCCCTTGTTTATTTGCAGTACTTGTTTAATTATCTTTCTATTGCCATTAATCTTTAATATTTGGTAATTTAAGATCAGCACAAAATACCTTACTAGTAGATGATCAGATGTGGTCTTCCTTTCAAAGTAAGATCAGTAGTTCAATATTTTGCTATTCGTGCAATGTCTTTTTCATGATATCAGTAACACTTTTATTACACGAGTTGGTGTATTTGATGGTTTGTCTGGTTACTTTTAGATAGGTTCTGAGTGTGAGTAAGAGAAAAATCTGTCTCTAGCAGTTAATGAAAAATTCAATTTTGATTTCAGGAAAATCTCATGCACTTCACAAGAGGGTGGAGCAGCTCTGTACCAGGGCAATCAGATGGGGTGAACTGAAAAAGAAATCCAAGGTATCGTTTTGACTCCACTTCGCTTCTGGTATATGTTAGATGCCTCAGTTTCTTTTTCTGGGGGACTTGAGTGCCAATAATAAAAAACTTGAAGTACTGCAGGCTGCAGTACTTCAAGTTTAAGAAAGCAGCTATTTGAGTCTGGACAATTTGCTTTTTTATGCTTCAATGTTAATTACATGTCAATCGCTTTAGAATATGCATTGATGTTGATAGCGACCACAGGGAGTAAAATATTTATTCTTACTTAGTGCCTCACAACTTAATAACCCTTAGAGAATGCACTATTGATTGATGAAGATATTATTATGTTATGTATTTCTACAACATTCACTATTTTGCTGAGTTTCTGCTGATCAGCATATGATCTACTGCAGGCAGAGAAAAAGTTGGCAATCACAGTCTTCAGTTTCCCTCCAGACAAAGGGAATGTTGGCACAGCTGCCTACCTTAATGTTTTTCCCTCCATCTACTCAGTCCTGAAAGATCTCCAGAGAGATGGTTACAATGTTGAAGGCCTTCCAGAGACCGCTGAAGCTTTAATTGAAGATGTTATTCATGATAAAGAGGCACAATTCAGCAGCCCAAATCTGAACATTGCTTATAAAATGGGTGTACGTGAATACCAAAGCCTAACCCCCTATGCTACTTTATTGGAGGAAAATTGGGGAAAACCTCCTGGCAATTTGAATTCTGATGGAGAGAATCTTCTGGTTTATGGAAAGCAATATGGTAATATCTTCATTGGTGTCCAGCCTACTTTTGGCTATGAGGGTGATCCTATGAGGCTACTTTTCTCGAAATCAGCGAGCCCTCATCATGGATTTGCAGCCTACTACTCCTTTGTTGAGAAAATTTTCAAAGCTGATGCTGTTCTACACTTTGGTACTCATGGATCACTTGAATTCATGCCTGGAAAACAGGTGGGAATGAGTGATGTTTGTTATCCTGATAGTCTCATTGGGAATATTCCCAATGTTTACTACTATGCTGCTAATAACCCATCTGAAGCAACAATAGCAAAGCGCCGGAGTTATGCCAATACCATTAGCTATCTGACCCCTCCAGCTGAAAATGCTGGGCTTTACAAGGGACTTAAGCAACTAAGTGAACTTATCTCCTCGTACCAGTCCCTTAAAGACACAGGCCGTGGACCACAAATTGTGAATTCAATTATCAGCACAGCTAAACAATGCAACCTTGACAAAGATGTAAAACTTCCTGAAGAGGGAGAGGAAATTTCTGCAAAGGAAAGAGATCTTGTAGTTGGAAAAGTATACTCTAAGATTATGGAGATTGAGTCTCGGCTTCTGCCTTGTGGGCTCCATGTCATTGGTGAGCCTCCATCTGCCATGGAAGCAATTGCAACATTGGTCAATATTGCTGCACTTGACCGTCCTGAAGATGGAATTTCATCACTCCCTGCCATACTAGCTCAGACTGTTGGAAGAGACATTGAGGATGTTTACAGAGGTAGTGACAAGGGAATATTAAGGGATGTAGAGCTTCTCCGGCAAATTACTGAAGCTTCACGTGGAGCAATTTCATCCTTTGTAGAGAGGACAACCAACAAGAAGGGTCAAGTAGTTGATGTAGCTGATAAGCTGAGTTCTATTCTTGGTTTTGGTATCAATGAACCCTGGATTCAGTACCTCTCAAATACAAAGTTTTACCGTGCTGATAGAGATAAGCTTAGAACATTGTTTGTGTTCCTTGGAGAGTGCTTGAAGCTGGTTGTTGCTGACAATGAGCTGGGCAGTTTAAAACAAGCTTTGGAGGGAAAGTATGTAGAGCCTGGGCCAGGCGGCGATCCAATCAGAAACCCAAAGGTATTGCCTACAGGAAAGAACATTCATGCTCTGGATCCACAAGCTATTCCAACAACGGCAGCTATGCAAAGTGCAAAAATTGTGGTAGATAGGTTAATTGAAAGACAGAAGGCTGACAATGGAGGAAAGTATCCAGAGACAATTGCACTTGTCTTATGGGGAACAGATAACATCAAAACTTATGGTGAGTCACTGGCTCAGGTCTTGTGGATGATAGGAGTGAGGCCTGTGGCTGACACATTTGGTCGAGTCAACAGGGTGGAACCAGTGAGTCTTGAAGAGCTTGGAAGACCTAGGATTGATGTTGTTGTTAATTGCTCTGGTGTTTTCAGAGATCTATTCATTAATCAGGTATTGATCCTATATACTTAATTTTGGATCTATCATATACATAGGCTTGCACATGAAGGATCAAATCTCGTTCATCTAATCAAACAAAACTATGTTAAGGATTTGAAGTCAAAATCTTTGATGTAGGGGATCAGTATTGCTGAAAATTTGATAATTTGAATTGAAGTGTATAATTCTTTTCTCCTCTCATCCTTCGCGATGCATTGCTTTGTTATGATGTCATCTATTTGCTTGACATTTTTACTTATCAACTTATATTTCTTGTTTTACAGATGAATCTTCTGGACCGGGCAGTGAAAATGGTAGCTGAACTAGATGAACCAGTGGAGCAGAACTATGTTAGGAAGCATGCCTTAGAGCAAGCCAAGACCTTAGGCATTGAGGTTCGAGAAGCAGCAACTAGGGTGTTCTCTAATTCCTCAGGGTCCTACTCCTCCAACATCAACCTTGCTGTTGAAAACTCCTCATGGAATGATGAGAAACAACTCCAAGACATGTACTTGAGCAGGAAGTCCTTTGCATTTGATTGTGATGCACCTGGAGCAGGCATGATGGAGAAAAGAAAAGTTTTTGAGATGGTTTTAAGCACAGCAGATGCCACTTTCCAAAACTTAGACTCATCAGAAATATCACTCACTGATGTTAGTCACTACTTCGACTCAGACCCAACAAACCTTGTTCAGAGCCTTCGGAAGGATGGAAAGAAGCCTAGTGCATATATTGCAGACACTACCACAGCTAATGCCCAGGTGAGCACTTATGTGCAAACTTCACAATATTTTTTAATATGCTTCTCGCTGCATAAGTTATTATGAAGAAACATGCAAGCATGTCTAAAGTTCCCAATCTTCAGGTTCGTACACTTTCTGAAACTGTGAGACTTGATGCGCGAACCAAGCTGTTGAACCCCAAGTGGTATGAAGGCATGATGTCAAGTGGCTACGAAGGTGTGCGCGAAATTGAGAAGCGCCTTACGAACACTGTTGGGTGGAGTGCAACTTCAGGGCAAGTTGATAACTGGGTTTACGAAGAAGCCAACACAACTTTCATCCAGGATGAGGACATGCTTAATCGGCTCATGAACACTAATCCAAACTCATTCAGGAAGTTGGTCCAGACATTCTTGGAGGCCAATGGGCGCGGTTATTGGCAGACTTCAGAGGACAATATTGAAAGGTTGAGGCAGTTGTACTCGGAAGTTGAAGACAAGATTGAAGGGATTGATAGGTGAAGCCTTAAACTGATCTTGGAAGGTAAATATTAGCTCACATTTGATGGTTTGCTTGAACCTCTCCCTTCATCTTCTTGAATGAAAGGCTGAAGAACTCCGGATAATATGAAATGTGAGTTTGTTCATATGTACGAAATAAACAATGTAGTTTTGTCCATTTTGTGAGTAATCCTCTTGTTGATGTTTAAAGTTGCAAATTAGTTACCATGGTGCAAAAGTTGGATAACATGGCCTTTTGATATCCTACGATAAAATTGTTGACATGTCAATCAATTTGCAAAAATTGAGAGGTTAGAAGGGGATGCCATTATGACCACTAATAATAATGTTATGGTCACTAAAATTATAAAATATTCTCTTTAAAAATATTAATTTTATTTATTTTGACTGTTAAAAATAATTAATAGTTATAACTATTAATTATATTTATTAATTAAGAAATTAATATCAATCAATAAATTAAAATTTTAGTGAGCACTATTAAAGGCCCAAGTGATTCAAATACTTCTTTCAAAAATTGGGAAGTGTCAAGTGTGTGTCTTTTTATATTCATGTAAAAAATTCTATTAGTTTAGTAGTAGAGCTGAGATGCAGTGGATAAAAATAATGTAGAATTAGTAGTAAATAATAAAATTTATTTTTTAAAAGAAATGGTAGTAGGACAACAAGTTAATTAATGGAATCAATTTTATATTAATTAGGAATTTATATTTTTATAAATTTTAAGAAATATTGTTTTAAATCTTAGAAAGGGTTTTCGCATCGTGAGGTCATGCAAACTAGCGTTAAAGAAAGGTTGTGGTGGATAAACAATTTAACAGCAACCCAGTTCGGCAAATGAGAGAATTTGTTTTTGTTGGAACATTGTTAGAGTTGTGGTATTCAAACCTGTAAAAGTAACGAAATGGCAGAAGGAAGCTGAAAATTGGCAGCAAATATGGCAGCAATTTAGCTGCAAATATGATGAGAAAGAAGCTATCAAATGACAGCAAAAATGTGAAGCAAGTGAAAATGGGAAGCACGCTAAGCTTTAAACATTAATGAAATAAAGCTGTAATAAATAGCAGCAAATGGAATGCAAATGAAAAGAATGACTGTTGAGTGACTGCCAAGTGATGGCAAACATGCAGCGAAACTGTGTGCCTTTTTACTAGTTTTTTTTTATGTATTTTAATTGTTTCTTTTCCATGTAGAAAATTTTCTTAAAAAGAAGAAAAAATGAGGTAGAATACTTTTTATTTTTATAGTAAGTAGGATACTCTTCAATATGGTTTTTTTTTTTTAAATGAAAGTAAATTAATGCATATTTGATTAAATAAAAAATGAAAAGAAAGGAGATCCATAAAACTTAAAACTGCAATTTACCAAAGACAATCCCTACAAACCCAATGTTAAAACCTCCAAATTGGAGCGCAAGATTTACATTTTAATATGTTTTTAAGTTATTTTTCTGCTATATGTATCAGAGTTTATTGTAAAAAATAACCAAAAGAATTTGTCAATGAAATATCTGAGACGAGTATTATACTCTTCTTCAATTTCAGTTTGTGTTCTAACCTCTTTCTCTCCATTTTTTCGCCTTTTTTAACCATGAAAAAAAATCAACACTTTTCTCATATATTCATGAGCCAAAATGACAAGATCAACACATTTTCTCTAGGGGGAAATCCCCATATCAGTAAATGAATCAAACAACCGTAAATCTACAGAAGTTACAAAAGCAAAACCCTCCCCTTATGAAAAAATTAAGGTAAAAAGAAAACAAAAGAACAGAATTTGGTATTACAGTTACAATGTGGTACACGGTTTCCGTTTCCCCCTCCTACTGCAGTTTCTTTATGCATCAGAGAAGTCTATTTTTACCTTCAAACCAACTCCATTAAGAGAGGATCACCTTCGGCCATTATTCTGATTAGTTTTATGAAATCTTGTTCACTTGAAACGTTCCATGGATGAACTGCAGGCGCTTGTGCAGAATAATGTGTTGAATTAGTAGGCGATTTCTGCTTGTAGACCATTGTGTTGAGCACTGAGTCAAAATTCTGAGGCAAATCCATAGATACAAAGAACATGGGTATGGCAACCTTGTGATGGATATCAAGATCACCAACCAGACTGACAAGATCAACAAAGTCAGCTGTGAAGTGTCGAGGTATGTAGAATATCTCGGAGCTGCATATTGTCAAGCTCTGGTCATTCTTCATTACTTCTTTATAATTCACTTGGAAGTGGACTGGCATTGTGCTGATTACTTTCTTTACCATTTCTGCTTGTTTTAAATACCACTCGGAATTTCCATTAGTTGATACGGTAGTCCAAGACTTGGACACCTGAGTACAGAAAATGGAGGAAAAAGAGATAGATCAGCTTTTGTCAGTAGTTACTCCTAAGGAATAAAGTTTAAAAAGTCCCCTCCTCTCCAAATATGAGGGAAAAGAAGCCCTGGGCTCCATATATGTAAAAATAGAATCATAGTTTCTATCAAATCACATGTCGCAAAATACTAGAGCCTCTAATTCTTTAAGTGGTTTGTCTAAAAGATTCATGATATAAAAATAGTTCTCAAAACTCAAAAGAACATGTCCAAGAGTAAATCTGGAGAAATGAATTGCTATAACAATATGAATAATAGTACCTTATCAGTAATCCAAAGTTTTGACTTGTCTGCTTGTAGAAGATTCCAGTAATTAAGTATAGTATCATCTTCAAGGAATAAAAAGCCTTCAGCACTGCTATATTGATCAAATATCTTGGGCAGATACCTAGAAACAATGTTAAATCGTAATCAGTAAACATGAAAGATAGCTTGCCTTGAGGAATTTCAGTCTAACAAGAACATGATATCAACTCAATACAAAAAGAAGAGTAATAAATTATGATTATTTAGCAGCTATAGTTTCCATGATTACCAAGACTGAATGGTCTACCTAACAACCATAGGTTGCTTCTAAACAAGACCAACTTCAAAAGCAAGCAAGAAACCAACAACTTTAGCTGACACAGTCTGCAATCAAACTTATAATACAAAAAAAGAAATAAATATTGGAGAACAAAGTCATGGATTATAGCAGTTGAATCTCTAATATTAAAGCTGGATCAGGGTAGTGCCCTCAGAAACTTGACATGCCCATATTTATGGAGCAA